TTTACATATTTTCTTGGTTTCTATTTTTTGCAGTTAATCTTGAACTTCAAGCTACAATCCAAGTGCATTAATTGGTTTTTGTTCTTTAAAAATTGTGTCAATAAAAATTTCACTATCAAAATGTCGCGTACAAGTAATTTAGAGACTAAACAGTTTAACTGTTAATTTAAAACAATAAAAAGAATTTAAAAGAATTTATACAGCACTAGAATATTCCATTCGTATATAATTGAACTGCACAAGAAACTTGTGTGTGTGCGTGTGTGTCGTTGTGCGTGTGTGTGTGTTTCGGGCAGTGCAATAGGAAACTGGAAGTATTAGGCTGGAAAGCTCGCCGTTAACTGTGTATCACATTCCACTGGAAACGTATCTTAGTAGCTGACGCAAACTATCTCGCTCGCTCTCACACCTCGCACTCTCACACTCTCTATCCATTGTCGCTTGCATCTGTTCGAGTTGGGAAACGGTTAAGCGCCTAATGGCAAGTTCGCTAAACAAGACGAGACACAGGCGCAGATTGGCTGCGATCTCGTTTCTATCGAATATCTCATTAGATGGCACACATCGGGACACAAAATTTGGCGCAACATTTGGCAGCAGCATCTGCACGCAGCAGCAGCAGCAGAAGCATTACAATAACAACAACAACAATAACAGCAGCAGCAACAACAGCAAAGGCAACGCAGCGGCAGCGTTGGGACTCGGCGCCGGCGGTTATCATCAGCATTATCAACGAAATCATCAGCAGCGCAGCAGCCAACCACAGCAGCAGCAGCAGCAACAACAACAACAATATCACCATCAACAACAACAACATCAGCATCAAAATGGTAAATGCGGTGGCAGCGCCTCAGCAGCCCTTCTGCTCTGCAGCGCCGATGTGCACATGGGCAGCGGCAGCGACGCCAGCGTCGGACTGTGCGGCCTGGACGACTGCAACGCCGCCGGAGTTGGCGGTGGCAGCGATGGTGATGGTTTTAGTGAAACTGAAAATATGGGTCAATACCTGATGAATGTGAGCGATCCGGCTATCCAGGCTGAGAGACGCAACATAAAGCGGCCCACCTCCTGTGGCCGCCAGCAGCAGCAGCAGCAGCAGCAAACACCGAAATCGGGACGCATCAAGCAACAGCAGCAACGTGGCGGCAGCGGCGGTTCTGGTGCTGAAAGCGGCAGCGATTCGGACAGCGTCAAGATACCGCTAAAGGTCTCCAATTTGGGCAGCGGCTTGAAGCTATTGCCGCTTAGAGAACGGTAAGTGCAATCAAATCCGTATATTCGATATAGCTTTAATAATATTCTAGATGTATTTGTTATTTATGGCCTTAAAGCAATGGGTAAATTGGTGGAATATAAAACTTGGAAAATGTATTTAATAATTTCATGCTCAAGCAAGGGAGTTTTGATATACATATTTATTAAATAACTTGTAATGGACATGCTCTGATTCTCTCCCCCTCTCTTTCTATCTCTCTCCTTCTCTCCCTCTCTTTCTCTTCATAGAATGTTACTTCCATAACTCCTTCAAGGTGATCGGAAGTTCCAAATTTCTTCGCTTCCCACTTGAAGGCGCATACAAATTTAACCAATTCTAAGCCATCAATAACCATATACATACCTATGCTTAATTTC